TTCATCTACTGAGGGGCATCTGGGTTGGTTCCATATCTTAGCTATGGTAAATAATGCTGCAATAAACATAGTTGTGCTGGTAGCCTTAGTGTGGTAATACACAAAATTTTATACAAATCTATTTCCTTCAGAAGTTTATTACATGTTTGCATTAAAATTCAAGATAGTGTGAAAAACTCTAGAAACTTGAGGTTGTTTCCTGCCATTCTAAATTACCATTGATAAGACACATCCAGTCTTTATTTTAACTACAGTATTCAAACATTAAAAATGTTCTTAACATAATCTCACAATTTCTTGATGTTAACATTTGAATTTTCCCAACAAAACAACCAATAAACTGGTCAGATGTCATTCCATTACTATTTGTAATTGATAAAAAGCTTTTTCATACCTGATACCACCTTTGTTTTGGTCAGATACAATTTTAACTCAAATACACGATAGTGCACTCACAAATAAACATTTAATTTACAAAGAAACATCTAGTCCAATACTAGCAAAAGATCATAGATAATAACATTTTCATTTTTGTACATGAGAATATAGTTGCTCAAAGAGATTTGGAAACTTGTTTCCAGTGACATACCGACTTGCGACGAACACAGGATTCCAAACTAGATCCTATCTACTCATTTCATTCATAAATGCCTTTAACACTTATTGGGATCTGCACACTTGATTGGGTATTTTTTAATGTGAAGCAGATTTTTATTTTTTACACATTTAGACTTAATATACCATTTAAAAGAATAAGTCAGATTGCTTTCCTGTACTCTAAATGGAGTTGGGGGACACATTCCAGCAACATACATACACATACACTCACATGCACATATACTCATATATACACATATGGAGAGAGAGAAATCTTTTACTGAAGGTATACAATAAATGCTAACTTTCCTTTCTTGGGGTGACTGATATGAGGAGTATTTGTAGCATGGTGGAAGGTATAAAACATAGAAACATAAATAGTCATAAAATCATTTCTTTCCTATGAGTGCCCAAAAGTGTGCTAAAGTGGTTGCACTGATTATCCTTCCATTCTTCTTAAGTATTTGAAAGCCCATACTGTTGACCATTCTTTACTATTGCTGTCCTGCCCTCAAGAACCTGAGAAACCATCCAGGAAATAATTCAGGCATGTAAACAGTTAATATTAGGTTGTAAGTATTAAATGATATCGAAAGGTGGGCATTCGCTCCAGGGAAGATGGAATCTGTCAGGCCTGATTGTCTGGATGATTTAATCAAGGTCAGATAAGGATTGGCAGGATTTCTGGAATGTCCCAGATTCACTGTCCACCTTCTTCTTTCTTCTCAACAGTTCTACAAGGTCACCTTTGGACAAGAAAGGAATAGCTTTTCTTGCTGCCTAGTTTCCCTTTGGATTTCACCAAAATGATGCTATCTTCCTATTCCATAGAATCTTGGGGGAGAGTCTCTCTATCTTTTGGAATCTCTCAGTGACTTACATGGGAAGATTGTCAGTAGTACCGGATGTTCTCACATTAACTGTCTACAGGCATAGACACTCCCTGGGTAGATTGTCAGAACTTGAGCACAGGAAGGGATAGTAAAAGAGCAGATAACAACCTATGCTACAAGGGTAAGGGCCTGAAATGGTCTTTTCTAGAGTAATTTTAAAATTATTTTTGTGAGCACTGCATTGACTATATTTAGCCCCTCTATATACCATGTTTCTCTGTAGCCACCACCATCTCCACCACCATAACCACTCACCATTCCCATTGCCACTCCTACCACCACCTCTACCTTGGTTGGGCCTTTTCTCCTTGAGACATGAAGATGCAATGAAGCCATTGAGTCATGATGCACAGAGATAGGACAGAGGGGGAACAATATTGGAACAGGAACAGAACGTAAAACTTACTATAGATTCCCTGAGGTTTTTCATTAAGGGTTCCTTGAGTTGAGGATATTTATCTTTTCTATGCATCACTTTTTTTCTAACTTAACTGATTAAAAATTTATAGTGTTTGCTCAAAGTATAGACTCCTGAAAGATTCTGATACATAATGTCTGGAGTAAGACTTGCAAGTCTTACTTTTGAATAGATTCTCAAGTGATTCCTATAGGGAAACACCTAATGAATCAAACTATGGTCTACCTCACAAACCTGGCAAGTACCTTGGAGATGTCCTAGCTCAATGCTTGTGTTTATCTAGTGAGTAAGAGGAGGAAGGGGGTGGGAGGGCTGGGAAGGTATCTCAGTGGTAGAGTACTTGCCTTTCATGCATGAGGCCTTGGGTTCAATTCCTCAGCACCACATAAGCAGAAAATGCTGTTAGTGGCATTCTGACTCAAGTCATAGAGCACTAACCTTGAGATGAAGAGCTGAGGGACAGTACCCAGGCCCAGAGTTCAGGCCCCATGACCGACAAAAAAAAAAAAAAGAAAACGAAAGAGGAGGAAGGCAGAGACATAAAGTAGGAAAGATTCTACTGCCATTTTAGTGGCAGTACTTGAAGAAGAAGTTTCCCTGTACCTTCTTTCCTCACACAGTGTTGTCTTCTAATTAGACATACCATGTTGCTAATATTCAAAGATAACATTTAATAACTCTTCCAATAGTATACATGGTTTAGATGATCCTAAAAACTTAAATCTCTAGTTAGTTCTTTTCTCCATTTTGTCATCTTCATTGTCTATGTAAATGAGTACAGCTTTCTTAGATGAAGAGCTATCATTTGTAATCTATGATAACTCGAAAATTCAATTCAATTTGGTATAGATATTTAAGCTATTTCTCAGCCATATTATTAGAAACAGGACAAAGTGTTTTTATTTTTATATTTTAAAATTTCTAAAAATGAATAATAATACACTGAATTTTATTCACTCCAGTTCACCTTGATTCATTTAATGAAGCCAGACAATCAGGAATGAATAAGCTGGAAGTAACTACTTATTTTGGTCAGGTAGCAAAGCTCTTCTTCAAAGCAACTGGATTTCCCCCACCTCCTTTCCTCCCTCTATTTTCCTCCCTCCCTCCCTCCCTCCCTCCCTCCCTTCCTTGCTTCCTTCCTTCCTTCCTTCCTTCTATATGAGGCCAGTTAAAAAGATTCAACTTGTTTGGGGCAAACTTCATATCACCTAGTTTACCACTGCAGCTTAATTAAATAACATAGTCAGAATCTACCTGACAAAGAATTGGGGGAAAATGTCACTTTTTTATTTTGCAAAAGATATAATTTTAGGCCATACTATGTATTTTTTATTGGTAGTGATTCATACTTTCTCCTTTTACTAAATAAAAAATATTTTGCTAAATATTTAAAAAGTTATTTTAAAAGTATTCCTTAAAATTTAGAGTGTATGGAAGGTATGATTTGGAAACACACAGTATTTAGAAAATAATATGAAACTTTTTCTAATTTTCTACATTTATCAAAATCTAAGTGTATAGACAAAAATATATTCAGACTGAACAGCATGAACTATATATTATTGGGCCTCTTGAACTACAAGTTGTATGCATATCAGAGTTTCGTTTTGTCTACAGGTCAATAGACATATGAATTGCCTTTCTCTTCTTCAACCTCCCCTAACTTCTCTTTCCCAATAATAAGAAGAATATGAAATTCATTTAAAATAAAAGGATAAATGTTGAATATGGAAAAATTGGATTAAAGTTAACAATTCTTAATATATATTTAAAGCATTTTTTTGCATTCTTAATTTTCTTCAACATCAGTGCATTATGTTCTACTTTATCGGATTGAGATATGGCTAGACAATTTTATTTTTTTG